AGGCCAGGATCTAAAAGCCAGAAAAAGGCACTATAAGAAAAGAAAATTACAGACCAATATCCTTCATGAATATTTCTAGAAAAATCTTCAACAAAATAAAAAAAATAATTCAATAGCATATTCAAAGACTAACACTTCACGACTCAGTGAGATTTATTCCTGGGAGGCAAGGATAGTTTCAACATATGAAAATCAACCAACGTGATAAACCACATTAACAGAATGACACCTTAATTGATCAGAAAAAGCATTTGACAAAATTCAACATTCTTTCATGATAAAAACATCAAAAAACTAGGAACAGAAGGAAACTACCCCAATATAAAAAAAGCTATAACTTGAAAGCTCACAGGTAATGTTATATTTAAAAATGAGAGAGTGAAATGATTCCCCTAAGACCTGGAACAAGACAATGATGCCCACTTTTGCCATTTCTAACTAGCATAGAACTGGAAATCTTAGTTAGAGCAATAACTGAAAAGCATCTAAACTGGAAAGGAGGAAGTAAAATTCTCTGTTCAAAGAGACACGCTCTTATACATAGGAACACCCTAAAGATTCGACACACAAAAAATCCGTTAGAACAAATAAACAAATTCAGTAAAGTAGCAGGTTACAAAATCAGCACAGAAAAATCAGTTGCATTTCTATATATTAACAATGAAAAATATGAAAAGGAAAATTAGATAAACAATTATATCACAATATTATCAAAAAGAATAAAATCCTTAAGAATAAATTTAACAGATAAAGGAAAGGCATATATACTGAAAACCAGAAAATATTACTAAAAGAAATTAAAGAAAATACTAATGAGTTAAAAGATATCCTATGTTCATGTACTAAAAGACTTAATATTGGTACAATGCCCACAATACCCAAAATGTTCTACAGATCAATACAACCCCTATCAAAATTACCATGATGTTTTTGCAGAAATACAAAAATACATCTTAATACTCATATGAAATCTTAAGGGACTCTGAATGGGAAAATAACCTTTAAAAAGCACAAACTTGGCCAGGCACAGTGGCTCACACCTATAATCCTAGCACTCTGGGAGGCCAAGGTGGGCAGATCGCTTGAGCTCAGGAGTTGGAGACCAGCCTGAACCAAAAGCAAGACCCTGTCTCTAAAAATAGCCAGCCATTGTGGCAGGCACATGTAGTCCCAGCTACTCGGATTGCTTGAGGATTGCTTGAGTCCAGGAGTTCAAGGTTGCTATGAGTAATAACACCAGGGCACTCAACCCCAGGGTTACTGAGTAAGACCCTGTCTCAAAAAAAAATATATGAACAAACTTGAAGGACACACTTCCTAATTTGAAAACTCACTACAACATTATAGTAATCAAACAACGTATACTAGCATACAGATAGACATCAGACATATAGACAATTGTTATAGAATAGAAAGCCAAGAAATAAACTCCTGAATATAGTTAAATAATTTATGACAAAGTGCCAAGACTATTGGGGAAAACACCAGTCTTTTCAACAAATGATGTTAGGAAAATTGGTTATCTAATTGCAAAAGAATGAAGTTGGGGTTTTACCTTACATGATACATGAAAATTAATTCAAAATTGATCAAAGACGTAAGAGCTAAAACTATAAGAATTAAAAAAAAAAAAAGGGAAAACTTCATGGCATTGGATTTGGCAATCATTTCTTGGATATGACACCAAGAGCATAGGAAACAATAACAGAAAAATAGACAAATTAGATTTCATCAAAGTTAAAAACTCCTGTGCATCAGAGGGCATTATCCACAAAGAGTGAAAATACAAGAAAATAATTTAAAATCATATATCTGATAAGGACTATTATCCAGAATATATTATATACAATTCAATAACAAACTAACAAGCGGATCAAAAACCGGGCAAAGGACTTGAATAGACATTTCTGCAAAGATAAATGGCCAATAAGATCATAGAAAGATGCTCAACAACAATAATCTCAAGGAATATGCAAATCAAAACCACAATGAAATATCACTTCATGCCCATTAAAATATGGCTGTTATCAAAACAAATAAAACCCAGAAAATAACAAGTGTTGTCAAGAATGTGGAATACTTGAAATGCTTATGCAATACTGGTGGGAATGTAAAGAGATGTAGCTGCAAGGGAAAACAGAATGGTGGTTCTTCAAAAAATTAAACACAGAATTATCAAGTGATCCAGCAACTACAGTTGTGGGTATATCCATGTACACCCAGAAGCAGCAAACTTCCAGAAGACGGGAACTAATACTTGTACATCCATGTCTATGATAGCACTGTTCCCAATAGCTAAAATTTGGAGGCAATCCACAAGTCCATCGATAGGTAAATGGATAAACAAAGTGTGGCATACATGTACATTAGAATATTATTCAGCCTTAAAAATGAAAGAAATTTTGACACATAGTACAACTGGATAGACTTTGAAAACATTATACCAAGTGAAATAAGCCAGTCTCAAAAGCAAATATTACATGATTCCACTTATATGAGGTACCTTGAGTAGTCAAAGCCATAGGGAGACAGAAAGTAAAATATTGATATCCAGGGACTAGGGTTAGTAGAAAATGGATACTACAGTAATTGGTTGACAGGTATGAAGTTACAATTTGGAAATGTTTCAGTTTGGAAAAGTTTCAGTTCCAGAGATGGTTTGGTTGGTAGTGATGGCTGCACAGCAATGTAAATAAATGTACATAATGCTACTGAACTGTACACTTAAAAATGTTTAAAAAGATAAATTTTATGCTCTGTATATTGATATGCTATTTAAAAAAAACCCTATGTTTTGGTGTTTAAAAACAAGGTAGAACAAAAATACTACATGAAAACAGCATTGACATGGAAGGGAGATATTTAGAGTCTAGGTGTTCTAAGAGCTTTTTTAATATTTGTAAGGAGGTTACAGATATTTTTGGACTTCAAAAAGTACATATATTAGGCTTGGTGCCTGTAGCTCAGCAGCTAGGGCGCCAGCCATGCCAGCCATATACACGGGGCTGGTGGTTTCAAACCCAGCCAGGGCCTGCCAAACAATGACAACAACAACAAAAATGGCCAGGCATTTGAGGTGGGCTCCTGTACTCCCAGTTACTCCGGAGGCTGAGGCAAGAGAATGGCTTAAGCCCAAGAGTTTGAGGTGGGTGTGAGTTATGAGGGTACAGCAGTTTACTGAGGGTGACATAGTGAGACTGCCTCAAAAAAAAAAAAAAAATATATATATATATAAATGCCCAAAATAACCAATGAAAGACTAAGAATAAAATGAATGATTTCCAAACATGTTAAAGTTCTAAATAGACTAACCTATTATGATAGACTATACAATCTATAGTTAATATTTAGGTCCCAGTAAAATACAAGTGAAAATATACACAAACTTTTAGAAAGGAGAAAAGGTTAAAAATTTGGGGTGGGGTTTTAAGCTATAATTCAAAGATGATCCCTTTTAAAGTGTTCATTTTTTAAAATATAGACTGTGGGCATACAGGTATGTTTTTTCCATACTTTTATTTTTGAAATATTAGACATACTTAATTATTAGATACAAGAAATACAAAATGTATAAAAAGTTATATTAGAAAGTATTGTGAATTTATTAATTTTTAGGAATAAGGAAAATCTTCAAATTGTAAGAAACAGAATTTACCACAAAGGTTGGGAAATCAGCTAAAACTCTTAAATAGCTCCAAATTCTATAATTGAATTTAAAATAATTTTTAAATGGGCTTAGAAAAAAATATTGTCAGCAGGACAGAATGCTACCATATTTCTATAAGAAAGCATATGATCTTATGATTCAAGGGACAAAAACAAGAGAAGCATATGATCTGATAAAGAAATGATGGCAATATAAAAGGTAAAGGAAATGAAAAAACTAGAATTAAATATATCCAACCGAAATGAGCTATGATGATGCTACGACACTACCCAGGGCAAGACAGAAACTCTGTCACAAAAAAAAAAAAAAAAGAATTTTAAATTTAACATTTAAATCGAAACACCATTTGAAAATTTATTCGTTTAGCAAATAACTGAAAATGCCCAAGCCAGTGAGAGTTTGCTGAATATACAGCTGGTGTCAGGCACAATACTTTAGAAAAGTAATCGCTACGTATCAAATAAATTAAAAGATGTATTTATCCCATTTCTGAATTTTTTGCTAAGGACCTAATCCCAAAAGAAGACATTTGTCTACGGAGGTAATCCTTCCACTATATTCCATAACTCTGAGGATCCCAATGAGCTCGGTTCGAGGATGGTTATTTACTTGGCGGGTCTTGCAGTCATTTTTAATGGCAATCTTGAAAACTTCATAGCAACAAGAAATAGTTGATGAGGTGTTAAATGAATATGAGGGGTGAAGGGGATAAAGCACACACAGAAACGCAAAATCAAGTTTAGGGCTGAGGTGAGGACAACTCCCTTATGAGACACATTTGGAGCGGACATCAAAAAATACAAAAATTAAGATATGAAGTATTTTAAAAAGTCAGAACTAGTGTAAAACATCTATGATGGATAAAAATTCAAAATTCTAAATAAAAACAGGATCTACTCTTGACTTGTATCATCCTGAGAATGCCTCACTTGCATCTCCCTAATCCAGACCCTGAGGACCCTGCTTTTGGTTATGATATTGATCTTTCCTTCATCAATACTGATATTTGTGATATTTTTAATTTTTAAAAAACGGTTGCATTAAAGTATCATTTTCTTGATACTTCAATTAGCACCCCCTTTGTACCTCAAGCGAGTGCCTCCACTGCCCCTATTCCTGGCCCCTGGCAATGCCGCGGTAACAACTATGTGTCAGAGTGGCAGCGGTTTTTATTTCTTGGTGTATAAACTTTACGTGAATTTTTAAATCTCAACTAAGAGTGCGGTTCTCCGTGATCCCTGAGCCCAGATCCCTCGGCCCAGACCTCCTGCGGCCGAGTGGAGCGCTGGGACCAGGGAAGCCGGAGGTCAGGGAAACCGCCTTCGGGCCTCACCATGAAGCGCAAGCCAGACCCTCGGGGATAGACGTTCCCCCGAAGCTCATTGTGGAGGTCCACGTACTCGTTGATAAAGTCTACGTCCTCTTCGTGCGGCAAGAAACTCGCGTTCAAACCGGAGCCCAGCAGCAGTAGCCACAACTCCCAGAGCCACAGCTTCAAAATGTCTCCGAGCGTCAGCGGGAGCGCTCGGGTACACCACCTCCAGAAGAAAGGCCCGGGGGCCTCCATGGTCCACTGGCGCGGAGAGGCCAGTGCGCAGGCGTGGGCCCTCCCCGGTGACCTGCCAATCTACCTGGCGGCGCAGGGGATTCGCCCCCCTACCCGGAAGACGTAGAAAGAGACCCGAGGGAAGAGGAAGTGGGGAGGAAAAGGCGACGGAACGTGTGAACCGCTGGGTGGAGAAAGCCTTGTGTTAAAAAGAAATAAAAAAATGTTTGTCGAGCTAACTAAAAAGAGCCAGAATTGAGTAAATACGAGGCTTTCCTTCACGTAAATATTGTCCAGAATTGATTTCTGAGGCTAAATGTGTCATTGTTAGTTAATGAACCCTCGATTTGTATGGTGAATGCCGAGTGCTGAGTAATTAAAAGATTCAAGGACCCTTCTATTATGCAAAGGGAAATGATTATTCTTCGATAGTGATAAAAGTTTAATTAAAAAAATTTTTTTTTCATCATTACATGTTGAGATGGGAATTTGGTGCAGGGCATGCCTTTTATTTTACTTTTATTTGGACAGAATACTCTTAAAGCAGACTTCTTTGTTGAGAATTTTTTCTCAGTTTTTAAATGAATCTTTGTGGGAAACCACAACATAAATGGGAGAGTGGAGGGAGAGTACGAGGTCATCAAACTCTCATAAGGCAAAATATTTGTTTGTCTCAGAGCAATAAAGATAGGCTGGACTATTAATACTCATGTTATTTACTGACTGTTCATTGTGGGAAAGAACTCATTTTTGTTGTTGTTTTTTCAGTTTATTCTTTTGGATAGATAGAACACTAGCCAATTTTGACCTGCCCTCTTTACCTCCAAACATTTAGCTGAAAAATGAAACAAAATGAAGAATCCCTTGTTTTCAAGACTCTAGACATGAAATAGAAGCACGCATAGTATATGTTTTGGGGTACACATTTGCACGTTACGTACACGGTGGCTACAAAGTTCATGTGCATTTTAAAATAGTGTGTAATTAAAATTGCTCATGACCTTTATGGCCATTCTGTATTGGGCTTAATAGCATTAAGCAGATATTTAAAAAGATACTGATGATAGGAAAGAATTTTGCCCCAAAGAAAGCAATGTAACTGGTTGACCAAAAATATTTAGAAAGGAAAAAAATGCTTTGAAAAATTGTCTTTGATGCACAAAATTGTAAAGCAATAGACCGACAAAGTAATTTTATCCATGCTTTTATTCTTTTAGTATATGTTACCAGGCAGAGTACTGGGTGAATGAGAAAGATCAGTAGACAAGACACAACCTGCTTTCAAGCAGCTTACAGTGTAGTCACTTAGATTGAACATTTTTTACACCATATGATAAATACAAAGCCAGAATGTAGCTGCACTATGTAAGGGGGAACTAGTGCTCTTATGGAGAACAAGCCTTGCTGGAGAATCAGCATCAAAAAGGTGAAGCAGACGGATACAAGATAGCATTCTAAACAAAGGGAAAAGTATGTTAATATGCCCCTGGAGAGAAAGATCATAATGGTTAAAAGTATTTTAATATGGCTAGAGCCTATTGTATGAGTGAATGCTGCAAGTGGTGAAAGAGGCAAATCTTTTATGTATGTACCATTGTTAAGACTATGAAAATTGCTAAAGAGAAAGGATAAATAAAATAATGCAATCTTAGATTTGGAGGAAATTTTAGACACTTTTATTAGCTCCTTGCATTAGACGTATTATTTGAAATACATCACTGGCAGGTGATCAGCACATCTTTCCTTAAATAATTACACTATTAGGGAAGTCACCAATCCTAAGGAAGCCCATTCTACTGGTAGACAACTTATTCATCAATCTAATAAATATTTCTTTAGTACTTTATACATATCTAGAGCCTGGTCTGGGCACTAGACCTATAGATTCTGAACAAGCTAGACTTAAGAGTCTATCACAAGAAGCTTTTAGTTAAAGGTGTTACAGATGAATCATCAATCACAATACAGAGTAGCTAATGCTACCCTATCAGACAAATGTGGTTCAACTTTTATGCAACAAAGTTCTAAATTATTTTTAGATTGCCAGGAGCCCCCACATTGAAAAATCACAATCTGAGCATGCCTACATGAACCAAGCATGCAACATTAGCATTCCAACTTAGGTGGAACGTAAGTGGTCAGAGTAGACTGAGGAGTGGGACTGAATTAAGAAGTGGACACTGGAAGGCAGATTGCAGAATCCAATCAGATCAAGCCCCAGGTCACCCCATGGCAGGAACCAGTCAAATTGTGCTTCATTACACTCTGACTATAAAATTAGCTCAACCCCTTTTATTCAGGGAGCTATGCCAGGTGCCATCTTTATCTGTGCTTTGGGAGCTATGCCAGGTGTGATCTTTATCTGTGCCAAGTAATAAAACCTCTTTGCTATAACTGAGTTGCCTGTATCTGTTGGCCTGATACTAGTTAAACAAATGAACCCCTCTATTTGTGAGGTATCAGTTTTAATTTATTTCACAAATAATTTGTAAAACTCTGTTTGATAGCTCGCTGAACAAATAGAAAAACTGGGAAAAAGAGAAGTCAGATGATTTCTCCAAAGTCACCCAATCAGTGAGTGGTAGAGCTAGCTTTTGTTTAGCCATTTCCTTTTCTTAAAAATAGACTTTATTATTTTGTAGCAGTTTTAAATTCACGACAAGACTGAAAAGAAGGTACAGAGATTTCTCATGCAGTCCCTGACCATGCATGTACATAGCCTCCCATGTTACTAACATCACACATCAGAAAGGTACATTTGTTCCAATTAATGGATGTACACTGATCCATCATCATACCCAGAGTTCATAGTATACGTTAGAGTTCATTCTTGGCATTGTTCATTCTTTGGGTTTGGACAAATATATAAAGATGCTTATCTACCATTTTAGTATCATACAGAGTAGTTTCACTGCCCTAAAAGGCCCGTGCTCAAACTATTTATCTCTTCTTCCCTTCTAATCCTTGGCAACCATTCATTTTTTTTTCAATGTCTCCTTAGTTTTATCTTTTCCAGAATGTCATATAGTTGGAATCATACAGTATACAACATTTTTCAAATTTCCTTTTTTCACTTCATAATATGCATTTAAGTTTCCTCCATTTCTTTTTAGCATGAATGATATTCCATTTTCTGGATGTATCAATAATTATTTATTCCTTTATCTACTGAAGGACATTTGGGTTTCTTTCAGGTTTAGGCAATTATGAATAAAACCCCTATCAACAGTTGACTATATTTTCATGGTTCTTTTCTGTACCTTTCTTCTGATTTTAGGTCTATTTGTTTCTACTTTTGCCAATACGATGCTACCTTGATTACTATTATCTGAATGTGTTTTCTCCCATTCTTGTGTTGAAAAATCAATCCCTAGTGCAATAGCACATAGAAGAGGCACCTTTAAGAGGTGATTTAGTTCATGAAGGCCCTGCCTTCCTGAATAGGTTAATGTTGTTATCACAGAAGTAGGTAAGTTTTGGGGGGAGTGTTCTTGATAATAGGATGATTATGGAGGGAGTGTTTTTGGTAATAGGATGAATTCAACCCCCTTCTCTTCCTCATGTAATTTCTTGCCCTTTACCTTCTGCTGTGGTATAACACAGTGAAAAGATCCTTGCATATAATTCCCATAAACTTAGACTTTACAACCTCCAGAATTGTATAAAACAAATCTTAAATCTTCGTAAATTACCCGGTATCAAGTATTCTGTTACAGCAGCACAAAACAGACTAAGACATGTAGCTTTATAGCCACTCATAATGTTAAGTAGTGTTGTTTCTACATTTTTCTTTTGTTTCAGTGATGTGCTGGCTATTCTGGGGTATTTGCTTCTCCATATAAACTTTAGAATCAGTTTATTGATATCCACAAATTAACTTCCTAGAATTTTGATGGGGTTTACAGTGACTCATAGATAAAACTAAGAATTCCCGGTATGTGAATATTTAGTCTTTCCACTTATGAACAAGGAATATTTCTCCATGTATTTGTTTGATTTTTATCATAATTTTGTGGTTTTTCTCATATTATTTTGTAAATACTTCAGAATTTATAACTATTGCTTTTTGTGTGCTAATGTAAGTGATATTATTTTTATATTTATTTTACTTTTCTCTTTTATTAAATCATAGCAGTATACATTAATACTATCATGGGGTACAGTGTACTGTTTCTGTATACAATTTGAAATACTTTCATCCAACTGGTTAACATAGTCTTCATGTCTTTTTCCTAGTTATTGTGTTAAGACATTTATATTCTACAATTAGATTCACATGTACCCTTATAGGATGAACCATGGGTGTGATCCCACCAATCACCCTCCCTCCACCCACCCTCCCCATCTCCCCTCCCGCTCCTCATATTCCTGGGTTAAAATTGGGTTATAGCTTTCCTATGAAAGCTATAAATTACTTTCATAGTAGGGTTGATTGGATACTTTTTCTTCCATTCTTGGGATACTTTGCTAAGAAGAATATTTTCCGGCTCCACCCATGTAAACATGAAGGAGGTAAAGTCTCTATCTTTCTTAATGGCTGCATAGTATTCCATGGTGTACATATACCACAATTTATTGATCTATTCATGGATCGATGGACTCGTGAGCTTCTTTCATGACCTAGCAATTATGAATTGAGCTGAAGTGAACATTCTGATACAAATATCTTCATTGTAGTATGATTTTTGGTCTTCTGGATATATACCTAATAGGGGAATTATAGGATCAAATGGCAGGTCTATTTTTAGTTCTTTAAGTGTTCTCCAGATGTCTTTCCAAAAGGAACATATTAGTTTGCAATCCCACCAGCAGTGTTGAAGTGTTTCCTTTTCTCTACAACCATGCCAGCATCTGTGATTTTGGGATTTTTTGATATGGGCTAATCTTACTGGTGTTAGATGATATCTCAAAATAGTTTTGATTTGCATTTTTCTGATGATTAAGGATGATGAGCATTTTTTCACGTATCTATAGGCCATGAGCCTGTCTTCTTCAGAGAAGTTTCTCTTCAAGTCCCTTGC